TTCTTTCTTTATTAGTTTCTGTTAGTTTTTATCTTTTTTGTTTAAAATTTTAATAAAGTTATTTCTAAAAAAAGACACCCTAATGGTGGAACTCTCTTTCCACAAGGGTTTGCCAAACAGTTCTGAGAAACACAAGTTTATTTTCTCAAATCTTTGGGGCTGCAATCTTATACCTATTCATTTAGGAGCATGTCCCACTGAATTCAGCACAACACTTCTGAACAGCCATGGGGCAGTTTCCAAAACCTTTTTATGTTTTGAAAGATGCTGCTGGCATTTGCACACAATTAAACTTGACACCTGAACAGATTTTATATCTGACCCCTGTTAAAATCAAAATAATTAAGAAATGTGGGGAACACCCCCCCCAAAGTTTTTGCATTTCAAATACTAAGGGTAAAATTATGTTGTTCAAAAGATAAATAGGAACTTTGATCCATGCCAAATACCCACAGAGATCCCTGTCTAATTTCTTTCAGATTCAGGGTCAGCAGTGGAAAAGCTGTGCCAGGCAGAACTGGAAGAAGAGAGGAGTGAAACTCCAGAGGGCTTCATACAGTAGCTTATGAAGGGGGCAGATAGTGTGGAGGAGGCGATGAGCAGCTGATATGGAAGGGGGTGTTCTGTTGGGGGAGGGAGTAAGAGAAGCTCAGCAAAAAGTGGGGAGGGAGCCTACCTGAACGTTCTTCTGCGGCTTTGAACAAATCCTTTCTGTGTTTTCTTGTTGCTTGGTGCCTGGGAGTGGGGTGGAGCCAGGGATGCAGAGAAGAATGGCTTTCTTTCATACCCATCTGGTGAGTCAGGAGCCAGGCTTCCGGGCCGTGTCCCTCACTACAGCAGAGTTGGGGGATGATATGTTCCTGTGCTCCATCAGTCAGTCGCTCTTCCCCGCTTTCTTCTGCCCTGCTTCTCCATTCTGCTGTTCTCTAATCTTCCTCTCCATTTGAAGTCCTAGCGCTTGGAGTAGGGAAAACTTCAGGCATTGACCCTAACCCTAATCTTTGAAATTCAGTATTGAAGGCTTATGATGCATTTATAATCATTTGATACGTTTCTTAGCCTCATATACAGGCTTGAATAATAGCTTGTCCAGCATTTCTGTGTTACTTTGTATTTTCTGACAGCAGAATTTACTACTGTGTTTACTATTTACAACTTTACTATTTTTACAACAACCATTCCACTGGTGTAATCTAGTGGACTTTGTATAACCTCAGCATTGCTCTGCTGTATCTGTACCAGCAGCTTACATTTTTCCAGCATATATTGGTACAGACACACCCACCTACATTTACACACACTTAAAAAACAATCAGTTGAACCTCCAAAGTCTACTGAAACAAACATGTTTCCGGTTTTGGTAGAAACGATCTTAAAAACAAGGCCAGACAGATCTTCTCTTTCCAGTTCAGTATTCCCCAGGGCCATTTTGACTGCGACAGAACAGTCTCCTCCTTGCTCAGTAATGATCTGCGGGAGGGAGAAGGATTCATCCCCAGCTGGGGACCCTCTTTCTTTAATGTTTCTTCTGTAGCAAGCACAGAGAGGCTCCGACAGCACCCACTGCAACGCCAGACAGGGTGTTTCTTGTTGCTCCTGCCCAAAATGGAGTAGATATGAAGTGCCTCCAAAGCTGTTTTTGCTGCCCCTGTCCACCTTTACAGCTTCACACTGCCCAAAAGCCAAACCTGGCTTAATGGAGGCCCTTCCTGGCTACTCTGTTGAGATCTGGGCCCTCTTGCCTCCTGGCATTTGGCAGACTTCCCTTCTTGTTTTCAGACTCTTCTATAACAGAGGGGGCCACTCCAAGAAAGAAGGCAGCATGCAGAATTGC